ATATACTCTCTCCATCCTCATGAAACTTTTTCCAGAGCAGCTGTTGGGTTTATTCAGGAGGAAAGTTCTGTTATGGCAACCATATGTTTTGCAACCACATGTAATTTAGGGAACCTTGGGCTATATCATATATTCTGCCTATGACTGCAGAAGATCAAAAGAAGTTGTACAGCCTTTCCCTTTGTGTTGGGGACTGGATCTTTAGAGAAAAGGGTACCCAGGCTTACAGATTTACTAGATAAGATACTATAGAAGCTGCAGAGAGACAAGCAGAGTCCCTGTTTCTCTGCTCAGAAACCTGCAAGAATGAAGGGACAGCTGTTTACCTCCAGCTTTGCCCCACTGCCTGCCCAATAGGGGTGACTCTCTTAGTTCACATTTATCATACTTACCACATTTTTGTGGATTTTTTATTGCCTGTGACCAATAGTAGCTTTCCATTGCTGCATGACAAATTACTACCATGGTAGCAACTTAGCACAACAAGCAATTATGATATCACTGTTTCTATGGTCAGGAATCCAGCTAGTTGCATCTTCTACTCAGTGTCTCACAGGCTGAGGTTAATGTGTCAGCTGCTTTGCCTTCTCATCTGGAGGCTCAACTAGGGAAAGATCTGCTCCCAAATTTCCTCATGTTGTCAACAGAATTCATTACTTGCAGCTATAGAATTCAAGGCAGTTTGCTTTAAACCTATCCACAGTCAGTCTCTGTCCTGAAGATGCTCTTTTCAATATCTTGCCTAACAAGGTCAGGCCCGCCGAGGATAGTCACTGTTTTGATTAACTTAAAATCAACTGATGAAGGAGCATGAGTATATATGCAACAACCTGTCACCTTTGCCATATTCCATTGGTTACGATACTGCTTCCCTCAAGAGAGGGGAGTTATGGAAAGACCCTAGTTATACTTCTAGGTCCTCTAGGTCCTCCTAGAAGTCTGCCTACTGCAAGAATTTGATGACTTCAAATCCAGCATTCGTTCTAAAGTGTGGAAGAGGAGAATTGTCCTTCAGACATGACTAGTTCTAAATTCTCATTCCCATGCTTTTGATCTTTTTGTTAATTCTTGATTAGCTAAAATTAACCTTCAGCGAAGGGAAAGTATTTGATTGGTTGGCAGGAGAGAAGAAACAGGCTGAACCGGGTGTGATAGTTACTTATACCCACAGTCATCCTGCCCTGAGCAAAGTCAAGCATTTAAACACTTGCTTACTTAGAGATTCACATAGAATTTCTTTTATTTCCTAGTTTATCCACTATGCTTCAGTCCATAAAAATGAATTTACATATATTTATCCAAGATTACAACTATAAAAAAGGAGTTACTCCATTAAGAAGTTGACCTATTACACTCTTTAATGTACCAGAACTACCAAAACAGAGGGGAAAAAACAACCCTAGAGGGAATAAGCAATAGAAATCAGCCTCTCAATAACTTTCTTATCATAGCAGCACACTGAAGAGAGAAAGACAATGTGTCAGAAATTAAAAACAAGTAGCCAGGTTAATATTGCTTTGTAAACAAAATGTATAACTAAATAAAAAAGCAAATATGCTGGAAGAGAAAATGGAAGATAATAAAAGAGTTAGCCTCTTTTTGAAGTACTTATACAAATCAATATAAAATCTAAAAGACTTTAGGCCCTCCCTGGTGGCACAGTGGGTTAAAGCACAGCACTAAGAAGCTAAAGCCACTTCAGCATGAGTTCGATCCCCAGCCTAGAGGTGACCACATGGCACAGCAGACCTCTCCTGTCTTGCCTGTTGCTCCCCTCAACAATGTATTTCAGTATATTTGCCTGTTTTGTTTAGCACACTGTCTCTGGTGAATCCTCTCACTGGCCCTGTACCTCTGGCCTGTACCATAGTCTATATACATAAACAAATCTTTAAAAAAAAACTTTAAAAAAAAATTTTTTTTATTTTTTGAATGTTAAAAAAAGGAAATTCTGGGGCCCTCCCTGGTAGTCCACCAGGTTAATGCACAGCACTGAGAAGCTGAAGCCACTTCAGCATGAGTTCAATCCGGGCCCCAGAGGTGACCCAATGGCATGGCAGACCTCTCCTGACCCGCCCACTGCTCCCCTCAGCAGTGTACTTCCTCATTCAGCCTGTTCTGCTCCCACTCTGTCTCTGGTGAATCCTCTCACTGGCCCTGTACCTCTGGCCTGTACCACAGTTTATATACATAAACAAATCTTTAAAAAAAAAAAAAGGGAAATCCTTATCCACTCTACAACATGAACCTTGAAAACATTATACTAAGTGAAATAAACCAGTTGCAAAATACAATTAATATATATTTCTACTTACATGAGTTATCTAGAACAGTCAAATTCATAGAGACATAAATTGGAATGGTGTTTGTGAGAGCAGGAGAAGTGGGGGTTAGTGTTCAATTGTACAGGCATTTTGGTTTCAAAAGATGAAAAAGTCCTGGAGATGAATGTTGGTGGTGGTTGGAGAAAAATATGAATATAATTATTCCTACCGATTGGAATACTTGAAAGGGTTGATATGGTAAAATTTAGGTGATACATATATTTTTTCAAAAAATAAAAAGAAAAGGTAAACTCTAAAGGAGATGAACATGTGTGTCACAAAACAGAAAAACTAACAAGCAAGCTGACAGAATGATGCTTAGTCTTGCTGATAAAGGATTTTTTAAATTTGATTTAAAAGAAATTTTTTTTTAAAGATTTATTTATTTATTTGTACAGAACTGGGGTACAGGCCAGAGATGCGGAGGGTGAGAGAATTCACCAGAGACAGAGCGGGGAGCAGAACAGGCAGATCGATGAAGTACACTGCTGAGGGGAGCAGCGGGCGGGTCAGGAGAGGTCTGCCACGCCATGTGGTCGCCTCCGGGGCAGGCGGGAATCGAACTCATGAGGAAGTGGCTTTAGATTCTCAGTGCTGTGCTTTAACCCGCTGCGCCACCAGGGAGGGCCTAAAAGAAATTTTTTAAAGATTTATTTATTTGTGCATTCAAGACCTGTGACACAGGCCAGTGCTGTGGGGAGTGAGAGGATTCAACAGAGAAAGAGTTGGTAGCATAACAGGCAGGTCAACAAAGTACACTGCTGAGGGGAGCAGCAGGCAGGACAGGAGAGGTCTGCCATGTGGGTCCCCTCCAGGGTGGGGATCGAACTGTTCAGTGGCTGGAGATAGTTTGATAGTGCTGTGTATTCACCCTAAAAGAAATTTTAGTCTAACACACAAAGTCTGTAATATATAATTATATTAAAAACATTTCTTTGAAACATTTGCTTCTTTACTTACTCTCCCTAGAATACACTCCTCATTTAATATTTTTGTTCCAGTGTTTCACATAAGATACATTCTAAACTATTCCTAAGAGTATATGCTAATTCAGTTTTTTTTTTATTGAAATCTCCTTGAGGTCCCAATTGAATTTCCAGATTAAAAAAAGTTATAATAAGAATTGTGTTAAATGCAATTCTGAAATAAATTTATTATATAAAAAAATAGCTTTTGGCTGCAAAGATTACTGGATCATTTCCCCACTATATATCCCAGACTTTGCAATAACAAGAGTTATAAACTCTGAACCAAAGGCTATCTCTACATCTTAAAACTGGTATTCCTTTAATATAACTGCCTCTTTGCATTCCTTTTTCTCATAAGCCATGTGGCCACACACCTGCTTTATTATCTCTTTGTTATCTTATGATTTCCATGGGTTATAATCATTTTTTGGCAATTTAAGCAATGAGAGTAAATCTTTTTGATGATAATGAAATGAAGCTAACAATACAACTCTTATTAACTGGTCAAACACTGTATGAGCCAGCATTTTATTAAGCATTTTTCTGTTATTTCATGTAATCCCCATATCTTTTTGAGACAGGATATTATTCCCATTTTATAGCTGAGAAACTGAAAATTCACTCGCTCTAAATTACACAATTGTTTGGTAGAGCCGGAATTCAAACTCTGATATGTCAGATCTTCCTACTACACACACACACCAAAACTAGGAATATTGTATAATTTTATTTCATAATATAAACATGATCTATAAGAATAAAAATTTGAACATAAGACTTTGTAGCAATAGCCTGTTAACTAGCAGAACTCCTAAAATTCCATGTAAATTGAAAAGCATTTTCTTTTCAGTCAGAGTTGTTTAGCTCACACAAACAAGCTGTAGGACATTCAAAATAAAATGCTTCCTATTCTATGTCTGTCAAAAGTTCAGATTTACTTCCTGATAAGATGTACTATTTGGAGATTGTCTTTTTTTTTTTTTTTAATCATGACTCAGGTGCAAATAACAGGAAAACATATTTTTTGCCAATCTTGGCAAAAGGGAAGATATTTCCAAAAAAGAATACTTAATGTAGTAATTTAAATGCCCATTATTTTGAATTGTGAATTAGGAGAAAACAGAGTATAACTCGGGATTCAAATAAGTAACAATGCTTTACTGATTTGAACAAGAAAGGCCAGCCAGGGAATCTCTGAGACACTAAGCTGTGAGCCGGGTCTTCAGAGACACTACACTCCTCCCTGCCCATCAAGACAAGACAATGCCAAACGCATAGATGATCTGAGAGACCTGGGCAAATGCCAGCTCTCAAGATGAGTTGTTCTGAGAGGGCTTATGTTCATGTCTTTAAAAAAAAAAAAAATCAAGAGAGAAACAAAACACTGACCTTCCACTGTAATTCTTGTGACAACTAAACAAATAGTTGTGTGTGTGTGTGTGTAGACACTGAAATGGATTTTAAGTGGTTGGGAAATGTAAATAAAATATTTTTGCATTGTCCCATTTCCTGGAACAAAATGCAGAATTTTAATTCTGAACTTTCAGAATTTTCTTAAACAAGTGAAAATTGACAACAAATCCGTTTGAATAGGAAAGATAAGCCTCTACACACACACACACACACACACACACACACACACACACACACACACACCATTACACTCCTAAGTGTTCTAATCTGTGTACACGGTTTCTTCTGTTTGCAGAGCTCACACTTGTTTTAACCGTCTGGATCTTCCCCCTTATCCATCCTTCTCCATGCTTTATGAAAAACTCTTGACAGCAGTTGAAGAGACCAGTACCTTTGGACTGGAGTGACCTGGAAGCACAATGACTGGCTGGCAGTGGCAGGACACGGGATTTCAGAAGCTGCTCTCGAGAAGAATGGCCGAACCATGGGGGTTTCAAGAACAAGCTTTCGTGACAGTAGAGCTGTGTGCTGTTATTTTCCAGGAACACGTGCCCTGTCACTTCTGGGGACTGAATGGTGGTGATGAGTCCTCTTGGAAGGATTTGGGTGAGCTTGATGCCCAGGGAACAACCCAACAGTCTCTCGATCAACAGTTCTTGACTGCCAAACTTTTTACCATTTATTTTGTTCCAAGACAAAGGTGAACTTGTACATGATCAACTTTTAGGAACTTGGGATGGAAACTTACCTTTAAACGTGGTTCAAGCCAAACTAGCAGCACTTGACCCAATCTCCAAATTAGCGCAAGTTTAATAACATAATAAAAAGTATGTTTCCGGAAAGTACATTCATTTAAGCCCTAAGTTACAACAAATATTCATTCTCTTGCTTATGAGTGCCTGCATGGTGTGCACCGTAGGTTGCTGCGTTCAAGGGACACTGATGAAAACAAAACCAAGTCCATATGAGGTAACTTTAAAGATTTGCAATAAGGTGGTCTGTGACATGTATATGCAGTGGTATATGTGTAATTATGGCTGAAGACAAACTGTTATACAATGACAGATTTTATGCTTTATAATGCATGAAAACAATTTTAAAATAACTAACAATTAATCACAGCATATCAGGAAAAAAAGTACACAGTGAGTTCTGTTTATTTTTATATAAGTTCATTATATTTATGTTCTTTGAGATGTATATAAGAACCTACCTACCATACTGTACGTATCACCTATTCCATTTTCATGTTCCATCCATGCTTACTCGGGCATCACGCTAGTATGTATCCTTTTAAGCACTCTCAAGGGAACAAAAGGGCCTTTTATTTTTATAAAGGTACAAAAAAACTCCCCGAAATATTTTGCACTGAATGTACCAAAGTTGAAGGGACATTACAATATGACTTACAGCAACTCCATCACTTGACAAGTATGATAGAAATAGCTTCCAAATCAGACTTTCTTCACAGTGCCATGTCTACCACTACAAGGACTGTGCATCTAAGTAATAATTTTTTAAGACTCACTATATGTGATAGTATGATATGCATTTATTTAAAATGCATTAGACTTTCTTCCATCCATCAAATACTTTACAGGATGGCATTTAATACAGATATTTCGTATTTCCCCCACTGCTTTTTATTTCTACAGCATCATCAAACACTCAGCTCTCTTAGGGAGCCATCAACAACACCGAAGAGATCACCTCTCTTTAGTAATAAGACTTCCATTTTCTCTCATCAGTGAAGACGTCACAAATTGAAACCCTCAGTACTATATTTCTAAGCCTACATTTTCACTGATGCATAATTTTCTTATCAATATTAAGAAACAATTTTTCTATGGTATCTCAGACATTGCATGACATCATAAAGTTCTTTCTGCTTTGTTTTATCAGAGAATATCCTTCATTTTTATTGCTTTTGGGGTTGTTCCACATCGTTGTTTATTTCTTGACTTATGGCCATAACTAATCAGACTACAATAGAGTGAAATTAAATTGTGGGTAATAAAAACACTGGATTAACATTTGTTTTGCTAGCCTGTGGTTTTATAAGCATTACCCAAACATTTCTTTTAGAATTATATTTATTACTAACCATGGAATTCCTATAATAGAATGTTGGCAATCTTATACTTTATAGAGATCATATACATGGTTTTCAGAGGTGGTTTGTAAGAACCGATTGCTCTCCTGTTAGTTAAGCTATATTTACTACTGGGAATCTTGGGAAATAACCCACTCACATTGCATTTCTGCAATATAGGCAGTTACTGCAGAGTGAGGAATTTTTCTGGAAAAAAAAATTATTGCAGTTATCTGGTAGTAAGAAAGGAAGATTCATCTGTGTATATCTGGGGCAGGAAAAAAAAGGCAGCAAGGAAAATTATAACTGGAAATGTTAGTTTGTACTTAGTGATGAATTTAAGTATATATTTAATTTTGCAAATGATTTTTACTTGTTTGTATTTTTTTCATTATAAGAAAAAATAATATAACATGCACTTTTTTAAAAAAATCACATTTTTGATGGTGTATAAGAGGTTTCAGATATGGTATTCTCTAAACAGCTGAGATGGGAGGTTGCATCCTTTCAAAAATACATTCAGAAACCATGTTAGCTTTCATTTTTGTTTGTGACATTTTGTTACCATAATCCACATTAATAGGTAAAAGAGATTTGAATAAAATGTATGTCTTTAATTATTTCTAACAATCATACCTCTTTGTTAAGTCTTCCAGCTTCTTCACAAATAATAGCATAATTGTCTAGTTGCGACTAGTCTCAGAATTGGAAATGATCAAAGATTTACTTAGCTTAACAGAACACCAGAATAAGTAATCTATTTTTCTTTAGTGAAGCAAAAAAAAATCTAATAATAACTACATAAAGTATCAAATAATATTTTCACAGAATAATAATACTTTAATATTTTCTATAAATGAAAATATCCTAAATATTAGATTCTAGACTGTGAGCCTGAATAACTTGGCTTATGGTCTTGATTTCTTTAAGAAACTTGTAAGTGATACATCCATAAAAGCCAGTCACAATACATCATACAGGCATGTAGAATACCTCTCAGATAAGAGAAAAAGCATATGTTGGCATTCACTCTGTGCCAGCTACTGTGTTTGATTCTATCGAGCTACAAGATTCAGAATCTCCCTTTGAGAAGCTCACAGTCTGGTCCAGTGGATATCGTGGTTCCAAAAAGTATTTTTAATACAATTCTATTCTACAATCAAAAATGAAGAGAGAATAATACCATCTACAAGCTACATCTAGATTCTGTCTAGAAGTCTCCAGACGTGGGAAGTAGTATGACTAAAAAAAATCAAAAATGCTCTTTCTGCTGGTAAATAGCAGCTTGCAGAAGCATGTTAATATTGGTCAAGTGTTGAAGGCCAGGGTGCATTTTTTACACGTGAGTTTAAATGTTCAGATAGGGAGCAGAAGGAGCAACTCAAGGATCTTTACATTACCAAAGAAATGCCAAAATTAAGTTCACTCGTTTCCCTTCATTTCCCTGCACTATAATTTACCTTTGATTTTCAGTGGGAAAAATATCACCCACCTCTGGAGTCAACATTTTTCTTGTGTACAAAGTGGTCACAGTTTTCTGGCTATATTATGTTTACAATATAGTAGAAATTCTGTAATAAATGAAGGAAAAGCTTTTCACCTGCATAACAATCAGAAAAGATAAAAATGAATTCAAATGATTAACAGTATTGATAGAATATGTTTGTACAGCACTTTAGAATTTCAGCATGCTCTCAGTTCATCATCCCTTGGGATTCTCACATACTTTGAGGAGTAGGTATCAATTCCATTGGGGCTGAGGCTGATTTTTATGGGTGCCTTGTGGGATCAGTTTTGGTACCTTATAGTTAAAATTCTAGGTTTTTTTCTGGAGAAATGTGGACACTAATGTTTCTATCAGTGTATTTCAGTGAATTTTCAAAGATGCTTCATATACCCACACTCTCACTTTTCAGTGAAACATACCTTAAATGTGATTCCTTCTAAAGAGTCCATAAAGTTGTAAATATACACATAGAAAAACTCCCCCACAGATTTAAGTTGTATTTGAATACTTGTTTGAGAAATTAAAAAAGAATGCAAAATTTGATTGATTCGATGTATTTATACAAGTTTGGTTTTCTCAAATCATATGTGGGAGCAAGATAATGAAAAAGCACTTTAATTGGAAACCTTGTTTTATTTTTCAATTTTTAATAAGAATGGATATAAAAAGCTCTGATAGCTGAGTTCCAGTGATGTGGACAAAAGAACTAAAAAGAGTTTATCTTGATATCCTCACATTCATCCAGATATTTTTTTCCTTCTGCACAAATTGTATTCATAACATTCTTACAAAGTAAACATTTTCCAGTTTGACCCTCTTTAGGAAATGCCCAAGACAGGTAAAATGATGCTACATCACCATGAAAAGATTTATAACCTGTAAAGTGAAAAATATGCAAATAAAGAATATGGTCTATTTTCCAAACTTGGGTCTGTGGTTCAGCCCATTGCTATTCCTTATCTGCTTTCCCTCTTAATTGATGAGTGAAAACACTCTACAGCTTAGACAACTTACTTTCATGGAATTTGAACTTAAGTAGCTGAGAATTGTCATTTTCTTTTAGATTCTAATTTTGCAAAACCTATTGTCATTCCAGTTTGATTATTTTCCAGATGGAGCTGTTTTCAAAATGGAGCAAAGGGATGTCAGAGACATTAAAACTTTTTAAATTGATACTTTGAGGGTAACCACTGCCCCCTAGAAGAGTGATCAAAACCAAGAGTGGAAAAGAAGAGTTCAGTAGCCCCAAGAATGTAATGTTAATTTATTGATTGATTACAAGATTGGAGAGTGGTTGGTGCATTCCAGGGAGCTGGCACAAAGAACATAATGAGTGTGGTGCTACCCACTTCATAGCAGTCTGGGCCAGAAAGGCTGAAGTGAGGATTACTATGGGACTATGGCAAAGGGAAAGTTAAAACAAGGATGAAAGTCTCATTTCCGGGCTTATTGGGAGGGAGAGGGAAGGATAAGAACATATACTTCCATTTGGTTTCTGACTTTGAGACAAAGAATGCCCAGCAATATAAAAGGGCACTGCTTGGTAATCGACCTAGTGGGAATGCCATCACTTTTTAATTTTAGTAGGTTGGTAACATTTTCTGTACTGCAAAATAGAATTTAGCCCAAAAGTATTAAAGCTAAAATAGCTAACTTGGAAGATTGGACAATTTAGCATTAAACTATGTTATGGGTTTTTTGTTAACTTAAGAATTGTTGTTGCTAGTATTGAACTTTGTATAGAAAATAAAAGAAAGGGTGGTGCTTGACATTTATTATGTTTGATTTTTTAGCAGACATTCTTTAACATTAATGCAGTTAAAGACATTTTCTTGGTTTCTAAGATGTTTCCTAGGTTTCTAAAAACCTAAGAATTAGGTTATTGAATTGCTAATGGAAACCTAAACCGGATTTCCACTCAGGAAGTTAATCAAGATCAAAAATACATTTGCTTTGATTTAATCTGCAAGACAGTTGATTTGGCTTTCATCAGTTTATCAGAATAAGATGGCCCTAGTTGTATGGTATCTGGGGAACACAGGAAAATTAAGTTTATATAAGTGATTTTTTTATGTCTAGTGGCCTTGGGCAGGTGATATCTTACTATCTAGCGTTCGTTTAAGATATTACAACCCTGAGGAGTGTTGATCGGTGTGTTGTATGATTCAAACTGAATCAGCTACTACTGATGTAAGTAAGGACCATCAGTAAACTGCTTACTGTCACCTTCTGTACAAAAGGATGGATAATATTCAAGAAATATTTTGGAAGGATTAACCAAGAAGTACATAGACCCAAATATTCTTTTAGGACCCTAATGTTCTGAAAGATGTAGTTGCAACCTATTTTTATTTATATGATATCATAAATAAAATTTGGGACTGTTAATACGCTGGAAAGTACAGAAGATGATACGTTTTTATAATAGGGATGCAGGCATTCCAAAATAAATAAATAAATAAATACACACATCTCTCTTTGCCTCTTACTGAAAGTATTAATCTAATTTTTATAATAAAGCTTACTTTTTAATATTAAGCCTCTGTAATAATATTTATTTGTAAGATTTCAGTAGAGCACAGGTGGTGTATTTTTTAAGCCTTTCCATTTCTTTTCACCAATTCTACTCATTGTGTCTACTACAACACGTTATCACAACTTTCTATTTTTGTTGCATTGATTTAAGCTTCATATTTATTCAATGTGACATTTAATAGAGAATAAAAAGGGAGGGAATTACTATTGGCATTAAGATTACACTACTCTCATTTCACTTGATATTTAAATTTTCAACTTTTTTCAAAGCAAATAATGCAGATTATTGATATCCTAGAAACGATTCATGGGTTGTATTAAATGGAGCCTGTGATTCTGAAATGGAGAGTAGTGTTTGTTTTCTGGAAAGTCTGTATTCTTATCCTCACCTGAGCCCCTGACTTTTGTGTTGTATTTTTTTATGATTCCAAAATGCTTTGAGGGAAAGATATTTTAATGTGTACAATTTGTTTTATTTTCATACTGATCTCTATTTTTGTTTAAAACCATGTTGCATCATGAAATCACTTAATCAAAAATAAATCTTCTTTAAAAAAATAGATTATGACTTTTCTGTGATACATTTGGGGAGGAAAAAAACTGAAGAGGCAGAAAAACAAAAGTAAGATTAAGGTTTCATGGGATTAGTACCCAGCTTTGTGCATAAAGTTTTCTCTCTTTGTGGTATTTACAAACCGGTATTGATTTTGTTTATCCCTACAAGATATTTTACTATTTGGTAAACCATCAATCTTTTTTTTTTTTTAAAGATTTATTTATTTATTCGTACAGAACTGGGGTACAGGCCAGAGATGCGGAGGGTGAGAGGATTCACCAGAGACAGAGCGGGAAGCAGAACAGGCAGATCGACGAAGTACACTGCTGAGCGGAGCAGCGGGCGGATCAGGAGAGGTCTGCCTCGCCATGTGGATCTCCTCCCGGGCAGGCGGGAATAGAACTCATTCATACGGAGGTGGCTTTAGCTTCTTAGTGCAGTGCTTTAACCCCCTGCGCCACTAGGGAGGGCCCCATCTATCAATCTTTTAAAAAATGGAAATCGTAATCTTCGAGCTCACATAGATTGAGACTATTTGTTAAGTAAAAATGTTCGAAAGTTTACCTGACAAACATATGCATGCCTTCACTGCCACCACCATACACACCAGTGTACACCAAGGGTGACATATTCACAAGCCGATAGGGGCCAAGGAGGCAGCTGAGGAGTGAAACTGTTGCAAGGAAGCAACAAAGAGTAGCAAGGCTTACCTAAAAGTCACAGCCCAGCATTTTGCTCCAGCAGATTTTAACCACATGAAATTCA